TTCATCTCAATTAGCAACATTTTTCATATAATAACTAGTTCATTATGTGCCTATCTTGTCTTCTTCTATTAAATGTGAGCTCCTTGAAGGTACAGATATGTTACTTATCTTTGTTTTTGACTGCCCATCAAGGTCTTTGACATGTAATAGCTCAATTTAGAAAAATAGTTCCAATATTAAAATTAGGTTCTTTATTAATAAAGATCAGTTACATTGCTAAAACTCTATCATTTAAGTAAACTCATATTTTAATTGTGATATTTAGTAACATGTCTAGATAAGGAATCAAGAAAGGAATTAATAATAATGAAAGCTGTTAGACTTTATTTGTTGTCAGTGGCTCATTTCTACACATTCTTAGTCATGGAAGAGAAAAAAAATGACCTATAAGTAACCAGTCTTCAGCAAATTTCTCTGAATATACTTCTTTTAAAGTTTACTATATGGTTTCTGCTAATGGTAAAAAAAGATAAATGACAAGATGCAATTTTTTCCCTAAGCTTTTTTGTTCCCATAGAAAACAAAGTCTCTAATTCAGTGCTTTCTAAAGGATAGTTTCTCGACCCGGTGACATCAGCATCACCTTGGTATTTGTTAGAGATCCAAATTCTTGGACTCTACCTCAGTAACTCTGGAGGTGAGACTCAATAATCTGAGTCATAATAAGCCTTCCAGATGACTCTGATGCATATTATAGTTTGAGAACTACTGCTATAATTTATCAGTAAATTTTTATGTCTTTAATGACATTTTATCTTTATATGGTATCTTTAAAAATACTAAATACTTTTCAGATTTTATTAAACCATAATATATCCTCTTCCTATTATGTATTCTGAGCTCCAAGACTTTTGAGTAGTTCCATTCCTATTTTTCATCCATACATCCATCCATACATACATCTACCCGCCTATACATCCATCCATCCGTCACCCACCTATACATCCATCCATCCATCCAGTGCCTCTAAAGCATACATCACAAACATTAGGGTTTCAGGTGAGTTCATTCTTTTTGAAGCAAAAAATTAGTAATGTCCTTTGTCTCCTAGTTCAGGCTAAACTGCCTAAGACCTTTCTCTCCTTTGCATATATGCTAGGCCTTTTCAACACTTAGGATTTGAAGCTGTACAGTTCTTGGGTATTATCCTGGTCTGTTCTTTTTTGTCTTTTTTTTTCTTAATAGCATTATCATAGTTAAATACAGGGCTCCCTACTTAAGTAGCAAGAGTAAGTTAATTAAAACAAAATGCACTGCATTAATAAAACATCATCCGCACTTTGAAGGTAACCATTTAAGGGTATATAGCATTGATGCAGTATTTTTTAGAATTTAGTAGGAATTCACTAAAATGCTTTGAGTGTATGAATGCTGGAGATACTCATGGTAAAATAGAGAAGTATAATTTTTAAAAGCCTATTACTATAATAAAACTTTTTAGTGTCACTTACACATTATAAACTTATTAATATACTCAGTAATGAGAAATCAGAATTGACTCAATATGTTCACAGTTCATTAGAGAGTTAATGCTTTCATGTCTGGAAGTAAATATCATTTTTAGGATTATGAAACTCTTGTTTGCACCTATCTGTGGACCATATTAGGACCTGTTCTGTGTTCACATCTCTGTTTTGCAATTCACACTTCCAGGCTGAACTAATTCCTAAATTCTCTCCAGAGAATTACAATATTGTTTACTAAATTGAAGAATTTTGCAATTTAAATAGAAATAAACTCACTGCCAAATTTTACAAGATCTAAAGGCATCAGGATGTGTATTTTGGCTGCTTTAGCTCTTCTTTACAGAACCTTATCAGGTTCATGTTTGCTTCCAAAAAGCTTTCTAAATTTTATTTATTCATTGCAAGCCACTGAGGTGATACTTTAAGATAGCTTTGAGACATGAAAAAAAATATATTGTCTAATGGAACCAAAGCAGTAGCAAATCTATGCCAGGTAATATTAAATATTGTAATTGATGATAGGGGTGGCAATTTGGCTTACACTCTCAGAAGAAATCTACACAATGATTTTTAAAGTTAGCAGCTGTACTGCTCCTTTACCTCTCTGAGAGCAGGGTAGAGGTGTGTGTTAGAAATTCAAACTTCTCTTGAGTAGGTTTATCATAGAACTAGCCTGGCAACTAAACAAAATGTAGAATTCAGAAAAGAACATTATTATCTGGCCATCAGCATGTAGTAAAGTTGATGATTGTGGACAGGGAGATAAGGACAAACCTGTGTTTTGTGAAATTTTCATTAGTTCATGACTTGTTGCAAAACAAGTCAACAAATAAACAAAAACCAACCAACCAAGCAAAACACAACATGGTGGGATTCCTAAAGTAGTATGAGGGAACACAGGCAAATGTGGGGACCTAGGCTGGTAGATACAGTTGCAGAGGCACAAAAGATGTAGAAATGTTTCTGTTAATATATTTGTGAGTATGTGATTTCCCTATCATTTGACTCAAACTGTCAAAAAAAAAAAAAAGTTGTGACAACAGGAGTTAAGCTTGGTGAAAAAAATCCCCAAATCAGAAATTGTATTCAGTGGCTAGACTATTTCTTCAGCAAAGCTAATGAAAGAAATGTGGTAATTATATCAAAGCAAGAGCACTGAGACTTGGCTAAGGCCTTTTGAACAATTTTAAATATTATACTGACATTATTAGAAATTGTCTTAATTATCCCTCCTTAACTGAATGGACAAGATAGAAGTAATGATAATCATGTTTTAAAACACCTTTGTTATCCAAGAGACTATATCATTTTCAAAATTTTCCAGTGTGGAAGAAGCAGCACCAAGTGTAAAGAACGTTTGACAAGATCTAGTAAATATTACTAGAAAATATGAGGTAAAATTTCATCTTAGCAAAGCCATGAGGAAATGGAGAGACCTCTTGTCATGTTTCACGGAAGTGAATTTTTAAAAACATAGTACATATATTACTTTTAACAGGATATGTTTAAGGTTTGTGCGTCCTAAGTAATAATAATAATGATAATAATATAATAAATGAATACCCATTTACTCACCATCCAGCTTAATAGAACATTAGCCATACCTCCAAAGCCACCTTATGCTCTGAACCAATTGCATTTCTTTCCATAGAGATAGCTGTTATTATAGCTTTTCTATTAATCCTTTTTTTATATATTTATACCACACGTGAATCTATCCTTCAGCAATAAGTTGTTAAATTTTCCTTGTTTTAGACTTTACATAAATGTAAGTATAACTGTGTATTGTTTGGAATTTGCTATTTTTTCCACTCCGTTGGTTTTTCAGTTTCATCACATTGATGCATGTGGCTATAGATCATTAATTTTCCCTGCTGCATATTATATCATTGTATGCACATACCATTTTATGCATATCTGATCTAATGTAGGTGGATATTTAGAGTAGCTTCCAGTCCTTAGCTTTTTTACAAAGGGTATTGTTATGAACATGTCTGTACATGTCTCCTGGTACATATGTGTAAGAATTTTGCTAGGGTACCCAGGAGTGGGATGACTGGCTGGAAATTGCATCTTCAACCTTATTGGGTCATGCCAAACTCTTCCAAAGTGAGTGTATAAATGTTCTCACGACTTTACATCCTCGCGGACACCATGTCAAGCTCCAAGAATGGTAACCCAGCCTACTCCATGCCTTTTTTTGTGGTCTCTTTTATTGTGTTCACGTGTTAGATTGACTTCAGGTCAAATAAAAAATTCTTCTTACAGATATACAGCCCTAAGAGTTTCTGTTTCACAGTTGACAATGGAGGTAACACTGGACTGATAAGTCAAGGAAGAAATTGTTTGAAGTGAGATTCCAAATGTATGAATAAAATATTTGTGGCATTTAATAACCAGAACATACAGTTTTATATGACACAAACTTGACAATCTCTAACATCCCTTGAGAGTCTTATCTATAACAAGTAATTAATTTCTTGAAGTAGGTCAATTATTTATTAAAAAAATAAAACTCAGTCCTTGAAAAAGTCAACATTTTGTTTCCAACAACTAATATATTAAGCCCACAACTTAATATTTATGATAGTAAAATTGTAACTATGGTATGTTTTTTAAAGTACTATCAAACCTTCAAAAGGAGTTGCCTTTCCTTCTCTATTCTCATTATAATTAGCCCAGTCCTGGTCTATTTCATAGCTTCCTATCTATTCTCTCTTTTTTCTTCAAGACCCTCAAAATTGGATCCCTATCACTTCAAATACAGACTTTTTTGCCTTCTTTTCCATTTTCCGGAAGTGGTTCATATTCAGGCTAATTCTTACCTACTCCTCCTTGAGGACAATAGCAGTTTGCCATAGTGGAAGGGGCCTCAAGGCCACAGATGTGGTATCTCTTTCTCTTCTGCCAGTCACTAGCTGAGTGGCCATAGGCAAGTCCTTGACTTCACTGAGCCTCAGTTTCCACAGCTACCAACTTCAGAGCATCCTCAGATTTTTAGATAAATATCTATAAAATACCTAGTAGTTTAGTGCCTCATGGTTAATAACTTCTGTGTGCAGAGTAAGCACTGTACTATATACTTTACACATATTGTCTTTGATTTTTAAAACAATACTGCAGAAAATACAGTAAAGGAAGCTGAGGCTCAGGATGATTAAATAAATTGCCCCAGGGTCCACAGCTTATAAAGGATTAAGCTGTTACTCAGTTCCGTGTCTGCCTGACTTGAGAGGCTCGGAGCTCTCATGACTGGCCTTCCCACAGCATCTGCACCCTGCTTTTACCACATCACACACATCTCCCTTCTCTGAATTCTTCATTACTCTCTCTCTCAGACACAATTTTCATTTTACTGTTTTGTAATAGTTTCATACAAATAGGGTCACTCTTTGAAGGCACAGACCTTATTGTCTTTTATTTCTCACAGCCCAGAGTATCACACCCATAAAGTACTCAGTAAATATTTGATTTATATAATACTACCTTTCATTGAGTTTCACCAGTTTTAATATTTTATATCCTTTTTTATAGCTCATATCAGCGGCCACGTGGCACTCTCCATTTGGATGATGGTGAATACTGGTCCAACAGGGCAGCCTCTTATAAAGGAAAATCCCACCGACCCATCTTTGAAAACAGCATGGACAAGATATACAGGAACTTGTACAAAAAGGCCTGTAGTTCTGTTTCTCATACACAGGAAAGCTTCTGAGACCATCCATGATAAACTGTATGGGTGTCTGTGTCAACTTCTCAATGAAAATGTTTGATGTGATCAATATCTGTATTCTTTTTTTTTTTTTAGCAGGTGATTCTGAGTACAGTAGTTAAATGTGAATAAGTTTATTGCTTCAAATGGTAAATTATCATAGGCAGTTCTTTTTTTTTTTTTATCACAGAAGAGAGTACTCTATTCCAAAAGTCAAAGCTCTGCACCACAATCACAACTTCCAATCTGATTATGAGAAGGATGTTCTGCGGCATATATGTCAGATCTCCATCTACAAATCCAAGAATAGATTCTCTCTAGAAATGGTCTTCTGCCTTAATCACCTTGTGATTTTCTTTTCATCTGCTTGATTGATTATCTTGTCTAAGATTAATATGAACTCCTTTTTCTTGGTAATGGGCAAAACGATAAACAGTACAGAAATGAATTTCCTAAGCTTAAACCCTGTTTTGACTAGTATTTTCTACTTATTTATGCCCCCCCAAAAAGGTTACTTGTACTTCTTAGCTAATAAGAAATAGTTTTTTTTAAAGTTTATATAACCATTCACTTCCTCTTCTGTCAAAGAACTAAGTTACCTATAATACGGTTAGCTAGAAATAGCAGTGGCCATGTGTGACCCAAAATGTGACTAACTGATTTTTAAAAATAGAATTCTTTGCATGATCTTAAGGTTATCTTTTGGTGCAACCAGAATCAGAACATAGCTTTCATTAGTAAGCATGTAGAAACTCAGAAAGAATAAAGGGATTATATTGTAATTTTAAATTCTTTAGAGTTTTCATAGGTGTATCGAATGGTCCAGGAAAGTATCTTTTTTTAATTATTATGTTAGTCACCATACAGTACATCATTAGTTTTTGATGTAGTGTTCATGATTCATTGGAAAGTAGTATCTTCACTTAAAGGACACTTGGAACCATAAAGAGGAGTAAAATATTATACAGAATGCTTTGTACTGGAAAGTCCAATAGTTGATAAAATTAGCTCCTCTCCACCCCCCTTAACCACACCTGAGAGGCCAGTGAGTCTTTGAAGATATGAAGAAATCCATCGCCTCATATTTGCCAGAGTAAGTGGAGGGAAAGCAGAGAATAGAAAATAAGTAAACTTGGCTTACAAGCTTGAAGAGTTGACTATGAGGTGCTGTTCTCTCATTGACTCCACCTTTGGTTAATTCTACAGTTATGATTTAAAAAGAAAAGACATGAACTTCATTTAAGTTGAAATTAACATGTAAAATTGAGAGACTTGTTTTTGTATTAGGAGAAAATATATAATACTTGTTATCTAATAATAGGATTTTTAAACTCCACGTTAAGAGTGTTCTGGTATGACAATCAGTGATGTGTGGAAACGTACATCAGAGAAAGGGGCCAGGAGGCCTAGGCTCTGCCATTCTCCCGCTGAGTCTATTTAACTCTCTGGGCCCGACTTTCCTCAGCTATCACATGGAGAAAATGGGATGGATCAGCATTTCCAGAACCGTGTTCTGTGGACTTCTATTCTAAGAGATGGCTGTAGGAATGTAGATACAGGAGTTTCATTAGTCATATGAGTTGAGGAAAATCTATACACTAGATTCACACTCCCCAACTTAGAGAGTCACAGGTAGTATGGCAGGAACAAAAGGCAGTGCTACTGATCCTGGAACAGCCATTCCAAACGGGCTGTCCGGGCAAACTGGTGTGTATAGCTGATAAAGTCATGGTCAACACTAGCCTGGTGGAGGCACTAAGAAATCCTGGCATACACCTGTTTCACTCTAGCATCTGGTCTGGAGTCTGACACATAGTGCTCATTAAATATTTTTTGAATTAGCCCAGAATTTCCTAAAGTGAATGTGTAGCAATATTTGTCATTATGGCCATCCTTCCCCTTCCGTCCCACCCCCTCAGCTCCCCACACTCCCTTTCAAATGTGCCGTCCTCGGATACATGTAGACACCAGTCAGGGAGATAGTACACTATACAATCACTGAGTTACCCTCTGGCTGTAAGTTGTAGGATGATGTTTTGTACAATGAGCTTTTGAAGGTCAACATTGACTAATGCTTTTTTTTTTTAACAAAAAATATTATCAGTGGAAACTTAGTATGTTTTGTTTTTATTTTTGTTTTACATGTGGAAACAAATGAAAAATTCTACCATTTAAAAGGTCCTGCTTGGTGAAAAGAACAATTTTGAACTTCAAAGAAAATTTCACTGTCATAGAAAATCTCCTGAGTGAATAACTACATCAAAAGTTACCTATTACACCTATTTCTGCCATTGGCTCTACAAAGACCACAAAAAATGGATCTCAGAGGGGAACTTCAGAATATGATATTCTGAAAGATATTTTCCTGTGTAATGCATTTGACTTCTCTCTGAAGGATCAGGTGCAAGTTTCCAGATATGTAGTATCTTAGCTAAGTGTCTATTTCCATTTCCTGGGGAAAGAAATGGTCTTTGTTGCTATCCCTAACTATTACTATAAAATCTTATGTTATGTTATTTTTAAGGAGGAAAACCTTTAAATACTAATAGTTGTCTTTTCTCATTGTAAGAAGCAGAAAAATGTAGTTATTACAATTCTTACAATGAAACAGAAAGATGTAGCTATTTCCTTAGCCTTTTAAAAATATTTCTTACAATCTAGTAATAGTTATTAGACAATATGAAAGATAAATTGATCTTCTTCCTTTTAAGGTATTTTTGTCCTTTAAATAAAAAAAAAAACCTGGGAATTTCAGGAAGAAAGATGTCAATTCAACTAAGAAAAAAGATGTGTGATTGGACAGAGAGCGAGGTCTTCATAGTCCCACTATTAGCTATACAACCTTGTTCAAGTCATTTATCCTTCTTGGAGCTCAGTTTTCTTATCTATAAGGTGATGAAGGGGTTAATTTGGAAGGGTCTTTTAATGTTCCAACATTTCTATAATTGTATAATTGATTAAGATGCAAGATAAACAAGTTCTAGGAAGCAGAGTTGTATTGTAACTTCAAAGATTAAGCCCCTGATTAAAAATCTGGAGCAGATAGAGCATTCTCATTATTGTCTTCATTTTCCAGTGATAGCTTTATTGAGATAAAACTCATATACTATAAAGTTTACCCTTTAAAAGTATACAGTTGCATGGTTTTTAGTATATTCACAGAGTTGTGCAGCTATAACCACTAGCTAATTATAAAATATTTCATGACTCCAGAAAGAAATCCTGAACCCCTCAGCAATCACTCCCCATTCCCTTCTGCCCTCACCTCCTGGCAGCCAGCAATCTGCTTTCTGTCTCTGTGTCTGTTCTGGCGTTTCACATAAATGGAATCATACAGTATGTGATCTTTGGTGTCTGGCTTCTTTGACTTAGCATAATGTTTTCATAGTTCATCTGTGTTGTAATGCACATCAGTACTTTATTCCTTTGATGATTAAGTAATAGTCATAATGTGGATGCGCAACAGTCAGTTGATGAGCATTTTTATTAGTCCCCCTTTTGTGATATTAAGAAAAGCACTGGCATGAATATTTGTGTATGAGTTTTTGTGAGAACATATCTTTTCATTTCTTTCAAGTGTAAACCTAGAAGTGGAATTGCTGAGTCAAATGGAAACACTATGACATTTTGAGGAACAGCCAAACTGTTTTTCAAAGTGACCTCACCATTTTACAATTTTTATGTTTTTTAAATTTTACCTTAGGATCTTAGGCTAGTTCCACATTTAAGCATCACCCACCCATTCATCACATGTTTATTGAGCACTGTATTAGATAAAGAGGGTATAAATTTGTTAAGTGTACCTTCCCACAAGTGTGAAGAGTCTATTGAAAAAAACAACTGTGTATTTCAACATTTAGAGTGGTTTGGTAACTTCTTCAGTGGAAGACTACAGGAATGGGGATAGAGCATTGTAGCTTGGTGCAGAATTTGCAAAAGCATGAAAATGGGGGAGAGCATGGTTGTTCAGGAAACTCCCAAGTGCTTTCACTGGAGATGGTATGCAGGGATGCAAAAGCTTTGGGAGAATGTGTTGAGTGCAATAAGAGAACTGCAAAGAGAATGACAGGCCTGGAGTAGCATTGGAAGAGGTGACCTTTGAGGTGGACATTGAAAGATGGGAATGACTTTTGAGAAAAGGAAACCAAGATGGAATAAACAAATACTGATCAGGTTTTATGAGGGTCGAGGTGGGATAGAGGGAAATATCTAGTAATCAGTTAAAAATAAAGATCTAGAACTTTGGAGAAGTCAAAAGTAGAAAATGGATTTTGGAAGTCAGATAAAATTAATGAAGTGAGAGGGGGGATGGAGCAAGATGGCGGAGGAGTAGGAGACCTGGATTTCATCTGGTCTCAGGAATTCAGCTGAATAGGGATCAAACCATTCTGAACACCTACGAACTCAACAGGAGATCGAAGATAAGAATAGTAACAATACTCTGAACAGAAAAGCAACCACTTTCTGGAAGGTAGGACGTGCGGAGAAGTGAATCCGAGGCGATATTCGGGAGGATAGACGGCGGGGGAGGGGGCCTCCGACGGCCGCTTCTGGCAAGTCATGGAGCCGCGGGGCACAAAATCAGAACTTTCAGAAGCGGGCTCCGCTGAGGGATGTCGCTCCAGTGGCTAAGCGGGGGGTGGAACCCTCATGGGACAGTGTGGTCTCAGGACCCTCGGGGTCACAGAAAGACCGGGGCTGCCTGAGTGCAGCAGAGCTCCCAGGTATCGGAGCGGGGAAGCCGGCTGCAGAGACGGAGTCGAGGCGTGGGCTCTCAGCTCGGGGTTGCCATAAACTGCGATCAGTGCCACACAGTCAGGCCACTGCTCCTCCAGTAGGGACCCAACAAGCGGCAGAGCCGGGGAGACTCCCCTTCCTCCCCTGGGAGGAGCGGCGCGGGAGCGCACCACAGGGATCTGCTGGGTTTGGAGACTCCACACCGGGTCAGGTGCCAGACATAGAAACACTCGGTCACAGGCCGGGTGAGCACGGAGTCTGGCCGGAGACCAGGGACACGGGAGTGACTGCTTTTCTCTGAGGACACACTGAGGAGCGGGGCCCCGAGTTCTCAGCTCCTCTGGGCGGAGATTGGGAGGCCACCATTTTCACCCTGGTCCTCCAAAGCTGTACCGAGAGCTTGCAGGGAACAAAAGCTCCTGAGAGCAAACCGGAGCAGCTTGCTTAGCTTGGACTCACAAGGGCGGGGCAATTCCGCCTCCGGCAAAGACATTTGGGAACCATGGCAACAGGTCCCTCCCCCAGAAGATCAGCACAAACAGCCAGCAAACCAAGACCAAGTATACCGATCAAGGAGAACGGGAGAACTCCAGCGCTAGGGGAATACTGCACATAGAATTCATGGCTTTTTTACCATAATTCATTAGTTTTTCAAAGTTAATTTTTTCACTGTTTTTCTTTTGAAATTTTCTTTTTCCCTTTTTCAAACAACATCTTATCAATCCCTTTTTTAAAAAAATCATTTTTTATTTTTCATTTTTAGAGTCATATTTTTATCCCTTTATAGTAGTTACCCTTATTTTTGGCATATATATATAAGTTGTTCTCTCTTTAAAATTTTGAGATACAATTTCTTCTAACAGATCAAAATATACCCTAAATCACTAATGTATGGCTTTGTTCTAGTCTCCTGCCTGATCACATTCTCTCCCTTTTTTTTTCTTTTTTTCTTTTTTCTTTTTCTTTTTAAATCTTCTTTCTTTTTAAAAACAACTTCTTATCAATTCCTTTTATAAAATCTTTTATAATTTTCAACTTTACAGTCATCTGCCGTCCCTTCATTGTATCAACCCTTATTTTGTACATATATAAGTCTTTCTTCCTTTAAAATTTTAGCAGGCACTTTATTCTAACAGACCAAAATATGCCCAAAAGCTAGTGTGTGGCACTGATCTATGCACTAGCCTGATCATATTTGATCATATTCTGTTTTTTTGGTTTTGTTCTGTTTTTGTTTGTTTTTATCTTTTTCTTTTTCCTTTTTTTTTTCTCTTCTTCCTTTCCCTTTCTTGTCCCCTGGTTTCAGGTCTTTTCTGATTTGTATAGAGTATATTTGCTGGAGACGTTGTTAACCTGTTAGCATTCTGTTCACTCATTCATCTGTTCTCCTCTGGACAAAATGACAAGACGAAAAAAATCACCTCAGCAAAAAGAACAAGAGGTAGTACCCTCTGCCAGGGACCTACTCAGTACTGACTTTCGTACGATGTCAGACCTAGAGTTAAGAATCATGACTTTAAAGATACTAGCTGGGCTTGAAAAAAGTGTGGAAGTTATTAGAGAAACCCTTTCTGGAGAAATAAAAGAACTAAAATCTAACCAAGTCGAAATCAAAAAGGCTATTAATGAGGTGCAATCAAAAATGGGGGCACTAACTGTTAGGATATATGAGGCAGAAGAAAGAATCAGTGATATAGAAGACCAAATGATGGTAAATAAAGAGGCTGAGAAAAAGAGAGATAAACAACTACAGGATCACGAGGGCAGAATTCGAGAGATAAGCGATACGATAAGACGAAACAACATCAGAATGATTGGGATCCCAGAAGAAGAAGAAAGAGAGAGAGGGGCAGAAGGTATATTGGAGCAAATAATAGCAGAGAACGTCCCTAATGTGGGGAAGGAAACAGGCATCAAAATCCAGGAGGCACAGAGAACCCCTCTCAAAATCAATAATAATAGGTCAACACCCCCGACATCTAATAGTAAAACTTACGAGTCTCAGAGACAAAGAGAAAATCCTGAAAGCAGCTCGGGAGAAGAGATACGTAACCTACAATGGTAGAAACATTAGATTGGCAACAGACCTATCCACAGAGACCTGGCAGGCCAGAAAGGACTGGCATGATATCTTCAGAGCACTAAACGAGAAAAATATGCTGCCAAGAATACTATATCCAGCTAGGCTATCATTGAAAATAGAAGAAGAGATAAAAAGCTTCCAGGACAAACAAAAACTAAAGGAATTTGCAAACACAAAATCAGCCCTCCAAGAAATATTGAAAGGGGTCCTCTAAGCAAAAAGAGAGCCTAAAAGCAGCATAGATCAGAAAGGAACACAGACAATATACAGTAACAGTCACCTTACAGGCAATACAATGGCACTAAATTCATACCTTTCAATAGTTACCCTGAATGTAAATGGGCTAAATGCCCCAATCAAAAGACACAGGCTATCAGATTGGATTAAAAAACAAGACCCATCAATATGCTGTCTGCAAGAGACTCATTTTAGACCCAAAGACACCCCCAGATTGTAAGTGAGGGGGTGGAAAACCATTTACCATGCTCATGGACACCAAAAGAAAGCTGGGGTGGCAATCCTTATATCAGACAAATTAGATTTTAAAACAAAGACTGTAATAAGAGATGAAGAAGGACACTATATCCTACTTAAAGGATCTATCCAACAAGAAGATCTAACAATTGTAAATATCTATGCCCCTAACGTGGGAGCAGCCAGTTATATAAGGCAATTAATAACAAAAGCAAAGAAACACATGGACAACAATACAATAATAGTGGGGGACTTTAACACCCCCCTAACTGAAATGAGCAGATCATCTAAGCAAAAGATCAACAAGGAAATAAAGACTTTAAATGGCACACTGGACCAAATGGACTTCACAGACATATTCAGAACATTCCATCCCAAAGCAACGGAATACACATTCTTCTCTAGTGCCCATGGAACATTCTCCAGAATTGATCCCATCCTAGGTCACAAATCAGGTCTCAACCGGTACCAAAAGATTGGGATTATTCCCTGCATATTGTCAGACCACAGTGCTTTGAAACTAGAACTCAATCACAAGAGGAAAGTCGGAAAGAACTCAAATACATGGGGGCTAAAGAGCATCCTACTAAAGAATGAATGGGTCACCAGGAAATTAAAGAAGAATTAAAAAAATTCATGGAAACCAATGAAAATGAAAACACAACTGTTCAAAATCTTTGGGATACAGCAAAAGCAGTCCTGAGAGGAACGTATATAGCAATACAATCCTTTCTCAAGAAACAAGAAAGGTCTCAAATACATAACCTAACCCTACACCTAAAGGAGCTGGAGAAAGAACAGCAAATAAAGCCTAAACCCAGCAGGAGAAGAGAAATCATAAAGATCAGAGCAGAAATCAATGAAATAGAAACCAAAAGAACAGTAGAACAGATCAACGAAACTAGGAGCTGGTTCTTTGAAAGAATTCACAAGATTGATAGACCCCTGGCCAGACTTATCAAAAAGAAAAGAGAAAGGACCCAAATCAACAAAATCATGAATGAAAGAGGAGAGATCACAACCAACACCAAAGAAATACAAACAATTGTAAGAACATATTATGAGCAACTCTATGCCAGCAAATTAGATAACCTGGAAGAAATGGGTGCATTCCTAGAGATGTATCAACTACCAAAATTGAACCAGGAAGAAATAGAAAACCTGAACAGACCTATAACCACTAAGGAAATTGAAGCAGTCATCAAAAATCTCCCAACAAACAAAAGCCCAGGGCCAGATGGCTTCCCAGGGGAATTCTATCAGACATTTAAAGAAGAATTAATACCTATTCTCCTGAAACTGTTCCAAAAAATAGAAATGGAAGGAAAACTTCCAAACTCATTTTATGAGGCCACCATTACCTTGATCCCAAAACCAGACAAAGACCCCATCAAAAAGGAGAATTACAGACCAATATCCTTGATGAACATGGATGCAAAAATTCTCACCAAAATACTAGCCAATAGCATCCAACAGTACATTAAAAGGATTATTCACCACGACCAAGTGGGATTTATCCCTGGGCTGCAAGGCTGGTTCAACATCCGCAAATCAATCAACGTGATACAGTACATTAACAAAAGAAAGAACAAGAATCATATGATCCTCTCAATAGATGCAGAAAAAGCATTTGACAAAGTACAGCATCCTTTCTTGATCAAAACTCTTCAGAGTATAGGGATAGCGGGTACATACCTCAATATCATAAAAGCCATCTATGAAAAACAAATATCATTCTCAATGGGGAAAAGCTGAGAGATTTCCCCCTAAGGTCAGGAACGCGGCAGGGATGTCCACTATCACCACTGCTATTCAACGTAGTATTAGAAGTCCTAGCCACAGCAATCAGACAACAAAAAGAAATCAAAGTCATCCAAATCGGCAGGGAGGAAGTCAAACTCTCACTCTTTGCAGATGATATGATCCTTTATGTGGAAAACCCAAAAGACTCCACCCCAAAACTGCTAGAACTCATACAGGAATTCAGTAAAGTCACAGGATATAAAATCAATGCACAGAAATCAGTGGCATTCCTATACACCAACAACAAGACAGAAGAGAGACAAATTAAGGAGTCGATCCCATTTACAATTGCACCCAAAACCATAAGATACCTAGCAATAAATCTAACCAAAGAGGCAAAGCATCTGTACTCAGAAAACTATAAAATACTCATGAAAGAAATTGAGGAAGACACACAGAAATGGAAAAATGTTCCATGCTCATGGATTGGAAGAACAAACATTGTGAAGATGTCAATGCTACCTAGAGCAGTCTACACATTCAATGCAATCCCCATCAAAATACCATCCACTTTTTTCAAAGAAATGGAACAAATAATCCTAAAATTTGTATGGAACCAGAAGAGACCCCGAATAGCCAGAGGAATGTTGAAAAAGAAAAGCAAAGCTGGCGGCATCACAATTCCGGACTTCCAGTTCTATTACAAAGCTGCCATCAGCAAGACAGTATGGTACTGGCACAAAAACAGACACAAAGATCAATGGAACAGAATCGAGAGCCCAGAAATGGACCCTCAACTCTATGGTCAACTCATCTTCGACAAAGCAGGAAAGAATGTCCAATGGCAAAAAGACAGTCTCTTGAACAAATGGTATTGGGAAAATTGGACAGCCACATGTAGAATGAAAGTGGACCATTTCCTTACACCACACACAAAAATAGACTCCAGATGGTTGAAAGACCTAAACGTGAGACAGGAGTCCATCAAAATCCTGAAGGAGAACCCAGGCAGCAACCTCTTCGACCTCAGCCACAGCAACTTCTTCCTAGAAACATCGCCAAAGGCAAGGGAAGCAAGGGCAAAAATGAACTATTGGGATTTCATCAAGATAAAAAGCTTTTGCACAGCAAAAGAAACAGTCCACAAAACCAAAAGACAACCGACAGAATGGGAGAAAATATTTGCAAATGACATATCAGATAAAGGGCTAGTATCCAAAATCTATAAAGAACTTATCAAACTCAACACCCAAAGAACAAATAATCCAATCAAGAAATGGGCAGAAGACATGAACAGACATTTTTCCAAAGAAGACATCCAAATGGCCAACAGACACACGAAAAAGTGCTCAACATTGCTCGGCATCAGGGAAATCCAAATCAAAACCTCAATGAGATACCACCTCACACCAGTCAGAATGGCTAAAATTAACAAGTCAGGAAACGACAGATGTTGGCGGCGATGTGGAGAAAGGGGAACCCTCCTACACTGTTAGTGGGAATGCAAGCTGGTGCAGCCACTCTGGAAAACAGTATGGAGGTTCCCCAAACAGTTGAAAATAGAGCTACCATACGATCCAGCAATTGCACCACTGGGTATTTACCCCAAAGATACAAATGTAGGGATCCGAAGGGGTACGTGCACCCCAATGTTTATAGCAGCAATGTCCACAGTAGCCATACTGTAGAAAGAGCCAAGATGTCCATCGACAGATGAATGGATAAAGAAGAAGTGGTATATATACACAATGGAATATTATGCAGCCATCAAAAGGAATGAGATCTTGCCATTTGCAATGGCGTGGATGGAACTGGAGGGTGTTATGCTGAGTGAAATAAGTCAATCAGAGAAAGACATGTATCATATGACCTCACTGATATGAGGAATTCTTAATCTCTGGAAACAAACTGAGGGTGCTAGGGTGGTGGGAGGGGTGGGATGGATGGGGTGGCTGGGTGATAGACATTGGGGAGGGTATGTGCTATGGCGAGTGCTGTGAATTGTGCAAGACTTGAATCACAGATCTGTACCTCTGAAACAATGCAATATATGTTAAGAAAAAAAAAAGAAGAAGAAGATAGCAGGAGGGGAAGAATTAAAGGGGGGAAATCGAAGGGGGAGACGAACCATGAGAGACGATGAACTCTGAAAAACAAACAGGGTTCTAGAGGGGAGGGGGTTGGGGGGATGGGTTAGCCTGGTGATGGGTATTAAAGAGGGCACGTTCTGCATGGAGCACTGGGTGTTATGCACAAACAATGAATCATGGAACACTACATCCAAAACTAATGATGTAATGTATGGTGATTAACATAGCAATAAAAAAATTTTAAAAAATCATTGCCAAGACCAATGTCAAGAAGCTTTTCCCCTGTTTTCTATTAAGAGTTTTACAGTTTCAGGTCTTAGCTTTAAATCTTTGATCCACCTTTTTTTGTGTGTATGGTGTAAGGTAGGAACTTCATTTCTGCATGTGGATATCCAGTTTTCCCAGCACCATTTATTGAAGAAACTGTCCTTTCCCCATTGTGTGTTCTTGTCAAAGATCAGTTGACTGTATATGTGTTGTTTTATGTCTGGGCTCTCCATTCCATTGCTATAGGTCTGTCTTTATGTCAGTGTCATACTATTTTAATTACTGTAGCTTTGTAATTTAGTTTGAAATCTGGAAGTATGATGCCTCCAGCTTCTTTATTCTTTCTTAAGATCACTTCAGCTATTCTGGATCTAAAGGTTCCATATGAATTTTATGATGATTATTCCATTTCTGTAAAAAAATGCCATTAGGATTTTCATGGATATAGCAATAAATTTGTAGATCACTTTGGGTGGTATGGACATTTTAACAAGTCACATGGTAACCAAAAACATACACACACAAAAAATATAGAAGATACACAAAATAAAAAGAGAAAGGAATAAAGTATACCCCTACCAAAAATCAACAAAACACAAAGGAAGACAACAAGAGAGGAAAAAAGGAACGAAAGAACTACAATACAGAAAACAACAAAATGGCCAAGTAAGTCCTTTCCTATCAATAATTACCTTAAACGTAAATGTATTAAACTCTTCAATCAAAAGACATAGAGTGGCTGAGTGGACGATAAAACAACACCCAACTATATGCTATCTACAACCGACCCTCTTTACATTTAAGGACACAGTCAGGCTAGAAGTGAAGGAATGGAAAAATGGTATTCCAAGCAAATACTAAATAAAATAGAGCATAGGTGGCTCTATTAATATCAGAAAAAAAATAGTCTTTACATGTATCATATGACCTCACTGATATGAGGAATTCTTAATCTCAGGAAACAAACTGAGTGTTGCTGAGTGGTGGGGGGTGGGAGGGATGGGGTGGCTGGGTGATAGACATTGGGTAGGGTATGTGCTATGGTGAGCGCTGTGAATTGTACAAGACTGTTGAATCACAGATCTGTACTTCTGAAACAAATAATGCAAGATATGTTAAGAAAAAAGAAAAAGAAGATAGCAGGAGGGGAAGAATGAAGGGGAGTAAGTCGGAGGGGGAGACAAACCATGAGAGACGATGGACTCTGAAAAACAAACTGAGGGTTCTAGAGGGGAGGGGGTGGGGGGATGGGTTAGCCTGGTGATGGGTATTAAGGAGGGCACGTTCTGCGTGGAGCACTGGGTGTTATGCACAAACAATGAATCATGGAACACTACATCAAGAATTAATGATGTAATGTATGGCGATTAACATAACAATAAAAAATTTTAAAAAATAGTCTTTAAGTCAAAAACTGTCACGAGCATCACTATATTTCTGTTGCAGAAGTTTAAAGATGTTTAGTGTATGATACAGTTCAGAAATAAGGTGAGAGAAAACCTTTAATGTCTTTGAACATATGTAATAGAATTGAGAATAAGTATTCTATTGGAGACTTTTATCAAT